CTGTTTATATGGGGTGAACTTTAAGACTTGGTCGGCCAATTTTCAAAATCATTGATGGCACCATCGGATTACCGAGCGAATGACTGTCCGATTTTCGGATAAAAAATCGTTCGGAAGAGATTGTAGAGACTTATTGCATGCTTAACAACATTCTTAGTAAAAGTTGACTGACATGTACTGTTGACAGATGTATCACTTAGCTTATCGTATTGTTTGCGCATTTCATGCACTCGTCATTTACTCTTTTCTTTTTCTTCTCTCTTTTTTATGTTAATATACTTTTCTGTATTGTACTTTTCAAAAGTGCCTTGTTTTTGCTGAAAGTATCACTTGAAAATGTACTGTTTTACAGTCTACTCATGTACAATAAAATCGTTTGTAAACAAAAAATCGTTCGGAATTCCACCCATGTATGGCCTGCATTAGTGTCGTAGCCCAAATGAACAAGCTGAAGTTAGAAGCTGATTGGCTACTATGCACAGCTGCTTTAGTAAATCACCCCTATTGACTGGCTGGAAATGGTGTCTAATGTTGATCTGACATCCATGCACAGTTTTGTTCGTAGGCCTTCAGTAAACTCTGTTGCTGTCAGTCAGCTCATTGGTTTGTCTCTGCTGTGTAACGCTCTGATCCTCTTCATTACCCGAGGTTCCCCGAGCACGACTGAGTGTCCAGAACAGTATTGGCGTTACCTTTTTGTTTTTTGTGGCACTGAAGTCTTTGCTTATGTAAGAGGGCTCATTGTGTAACCCATCCAATAAAATCTGCCAAAGCCGCACCGCGTTGTATTTGCATATCTAGATGAGCGCGGAGTGTGTACACTGGTGTGTCAGTGTGTTATTACTTACGATGTATTATTTATGATGGGACTTTAATTTCAGTTTATGTATCAGTCAACCTTAAATAACCTTTCCTGGTTGTGTCTGTTATATAACATTGCAGATAATGTATTCAAAAGCTAGGAATTTTGATCCCTCCTGAAGCAGAAGTAGACAAATTAATGTTGAATTCAGCACCTTCTGTTCTCTTTCTGACTTTTTATCACGCCGTACTAAATTCCCTTCTTCTCCCTCCACAATACTGCGATCTCAAACACGCATACCCTTATCTCTCCATCTTCTCTATTATTAATCTTGAAATGATGGCCTGTTTATTAAGGCTGCTTTGTACAGAGATGTGGATATCTGATTGCATCGGCATGGGCATTTGTCCCAGTTCTTTTCTTATGATGTCTGTGCTTTTTTTTTTTTTTTTTCTGTCTTCTAACTTGTAGGTTACCACCACCAGTGACTGCTAGCACATGTTGAGTTTTCAGGAAATGTGATATTTTAGGAATAGCATATTTATTTCAGGTCTGGAGTTGGTGCCTAACTTCTTTTTTTTCATGCCTTTCAGGCTAGGTTCACACTTATGCGGATTTGAGTGCATTTCCCGGTTTGCAGAAACACGCTACAGTTCATTTAACATGAATTCTTATGGATCTAGTTCACATCTGTGCGTTGTTTGAGGCAGGGCAGATTTTGGAAAGGGTCAGGGACTTTCCCGCAGCAGATGGCATTTTGCATGTAATAGGCTTCAATGGAACCGCACCAGAAATGTAAGTATTGAGCTTTTGATGCGTTTTTATACGTTTTTTTTTGTGTTATTTTAATCTGGTTGTTAAAGAGCAGACGGCCGCCAGTGTCCTTTACTGGTTGGTAAACAAAATGGTTAACCACTTGAGCTCCAGAGGATTTACCCCCCTTCCTGACCAGGCCTCTTTTTGCTACTCGGCGCTGCACTAATTCAACTGATAATTTGCGCGGTCATGCAATGCTGCACCCAAACGAAATTTACGTCCTTTTTTTCACACAAATAGAGCTTTCTTTCGGTGGTATTTGATCACCTGTGCGCTTTTTATTTTTCACGCTATAAACAAAAAAAGGCCAAAAATTTTTGAAGAAAAACAATATTTTTTACTTTCAGCTATAAAAAATATATAGTAAACTCAAAGTTGGTTATAAGTTTAGGCCAAAATGTATTCTGCTCCATGTTTTTGGTAAAACCAATCCCAATAAGTGTATATTGATTGCTTTATGTGGAAGTTATAGCGTCTACAAACTATGGTATAGATACTGCAATTTACGCCATTTTTCTGCTATACAGCACTGCGCTAGTTTAACGGACAATTGCGCGGTCATGCAATATGGTACATAAATGAAATTTACCTCCTTTTTTTTCCCCCCCACAAATTGAGCTTTCTTTCGGTGGTATTTGATCGCCTGTGCGGTTTTTATTTTTTGCGCTATAAAAAAAAAAAGGCTGACAATTTTCAGGAAAAAAACAATATTTTGGACTTTTTGCTATAAAACATGTCCAGTAAGAAAAAAATGCAAAATAAAATTTGGTCATAAATTTCTACCAAAATGCATTCTGCGACATGTCTTTGCTAAAAAAAAAAAAACAATACGTGTAACTTAATTGGTTTACGTGAAAGTTATAGTATTTACAAATGGTGGGAAGGATACTGGGATTTTTAGGGTTTTTTAATACTAATAATGGCAGCGATCAGCGAATTTTGGCGGCGATCAGGGACTTGTGGGACTGCGGCGGACATTCTGACATTGGGGAGTACTGACTTGGGGTCACTGACATCCTCAAAAACACTAATACAGTGATCAGTGCAAAAAAAAACACTGACACTGTACTAATGGCACTGGGGAGGAAGGGGTTAACTTTATTTAGCAGGGAAGGGTTATAGGCGTGAGGAGTGTTTTACTAGGGGGGGGCGGGGGTGTGTACTGGACGGGACAAGGCTGATCGAGAAAGAGAAACTGTTCTTTCTCGATCAGCTCATCCTCGAGCTGACAGGGAAGTGACAGACAGCACAGCTACTGCAGCTGTGCTCTCTCACTGTTTGCCGCCGATCGCCGGGACGTAGCCGCTAAGGAGCGGCTGTGACCCGGCGACTGACATCTGCGGCGGTGATCCGCGGGACAGATAGGGCGGCGGCACGCCTCACGCGCACCCCCTATTTGTTTACAAAACACACGTTTTAAAACGTGGTTTTGCCTGCGAGTGCCGCCGTATATTTACAGTGGCTGGGCGGCATGTAGTTAAGGACGGCCGCCGGTGTCCTTAGCAAGGAACCCTGCCGACAGCTCATCGGTTGTTGACAGCTGAATATAAACAAATCTAAAAAACAAAAGGGGGAAAGAAAGGTCCCCCCCCTCCCCCCCAAATCCATATCAGGCCCCTTCAGTCTAGTGAGGATTTTGAGGGGACCCCACAAGGTTTTTTTTTCTCCAATTTAGGTGTGGTATGGGTTGGGGGCCTCACACTGTTTTTTTATATATATATATATATATATATATATATATATATATATATATATATATATATATATATATTTATTTATTTTAAATTGCACACGATGAGTTTGTTTATATTCAGCTGTCAGTGGGGAACCCCACGGACAGCTGACGACTCAGCGGTTAAGGGCGCAGTGGCCGCCCCCTTCTTAACATGTTTACTGGTTGCTAAGGACACCGGTGGCCGCCCGCTCCTTGAAAACCAGTCACACAAAACACCTAATGCATAAAAAATGCAAGAAAAAAAAAAAAAAGTATCAAGAAAGGGTGAGGGGAAAATAATGCAAAATACACCCAGAAAAAGCATCAACCGCAATCTGCATAGATGTGAATCTAGCCTCATTGTCAGTGCAAGCACATGAATCCTGGGCCATTTAAAATGCCCGGCTGGCTTTTGCATTTAATTAATCTTGTATGTCTGGGAAAAATTTTGTGTTGTGGTGTCAGCTGAAATTATCATCTGTAATTACAAAAAAACAATCCAACATGGATATTTGAAATACTATTACCAATGGCTACCCAGGAATGTAGACACAGAGGTCACAAATTCACACACAACCTACTGAATAGTCTTTGCTAAATGTGAGGCGTCTGGTTTGGTTTTAGACAGGAGTGTGATTATGTTAGTACCCGGCATGATTAATCCTCCCATTAATCTGGCAAGAGAGTTACATCTTCTTGTGACTCAATGAGCCGATGCAGTCACCATACACTTAGCAAATGCTTGCTGGGATTCTCCATTTGGAAAGCGCTGTTGTGAAAGCTTTGTGTTGCAACAATCTGTATTTATATACTAACATGGACTTGAACTCTAAGTTAGGGTTTGACAAATTAGTTTTGAATCTAGGAGCCAGTTTAAAAAAAAAAAAAAAAAAAAAGGAGCCAGGTGTTTTTTTTTTTTGTTTTTTTTTTTTGTTTTTTTTTTTTTTTTAGCTCAATATGGGTTGTCGGTACCCGGGGCAAGGCAACTTTTGGGCGACAAGCACCACACGATGCGATTTGCCTCATGAAAATCACAGTATGATATTCTTAGGGTTATAGTTGGCATTTTTCTTCCTCCAAACACGGCGAGTTGAGTTAATTCTCCATTTTGGTCTCATCTGACGACAGCAGTTTCTCCAAATCCTTCTCTGAATCATTTAGATGTTCATTGGCAGACTTCAGATGGGCCTGCACATGTGCCGCCTTGAGGAGGGGGACCTTGTGGTTGCTGCAGGATTTCAGTCCATGGCAGCGTATTGTGCTACCAATGGTTTGTTAGGGGACTGTGGTCCCAACTGCCTTGAGATCATTCACAAGCTTCTCCTGTGTAAATCTGGACTGATCCCTCGCTTTTCTCATGATCATCCTTACCCCATGAGGTGAAATCTTGCATGGAGTTCCAGGCCGAGGGTGATTAATGGTTATTTTGTATTTCTTCTTCCATTTGCAAATAATCGCTCCCAACAGTTGTCTCCTTCTCACCAAGCGGGGGGGGGGGGGGGGGGGGGCGGTGTTGCGCACAAATGAAACATTTGCCACACGCTCAGCACCCTGACTTTTTCTTTCCCTTTTACCCATTTAGGCTTCCATGAAGTCTGCCTGTCTGCACCTGAATGTCAGCTCCTTCGTCTTGTTCTGAGAAGTCGTAGTGACGGCGCCAGCGGTGCCATGAGGGTTTTGCCTGAGAAGAATGCGGTCCGGATCCTTTCGGGCCGAGAGAGGGGAACACAGGCGCAGGGTGCTCAGCGTCTCTTACAGTGCCTGGTGGAGGATAAAACTCGGTTTATGAAATGGGAAGGCAAGGTGAGTGGCATGTCCAAATTTTGCAAAAAGCTGTTTTGTTTTTTTTTTTTCCCCACGGTTTCTGAAGCCACTCATATCCATAAATTACAGGACAAAGCAAAAGGTGTCTTAAATGCTGATATTCCAATTGTCTCCTTTTCATTCCCTTGCCACCCTGTTTGCATCTGGTTTTGTGGCTACATGCTTGGCTTATGGCCCCTTGACTGCATTAGATTTTCTAACTGAAATGGTAACGATTTTAAGTGTTGGTGATTTTTTTTTTTTTTTTACTTTTGTCTATTGAGGGACACAGGAAGTCTTTAAAATGATACAGCCCCAATCTTTCTCTTCTCGGATCCCGCACCGGTGCTCCTTACCCTCCCCCTTCTTGGATCCCGCACCGGTGCTCCTGATCCTCCCCATTCTCTGATCTCGCACCGGCGCTCCTGATCCTCCCCATTCTCTGATCTCGCACCGGCGCTCCTGACCCTCCCCATTCTCGGACCCCGCACCGGCACGCCTGACCCTCCCCACCTGCTGAGTTCCCCCAGATAAAGCTGCTTGCACGGCTTGGCCCTGCCCCCTCCCTGGCTCCCTCCTCATTGGCTGTGATTGACAGCAGTGGGAGCCAATGGCTTCTGCCTCTGAGTCTCGGTTAATGAGAAGGGAGTGACCAGGGAGAGCTGCTGCTCTTGTGCACATCACTGGTAAGTATAATGGGGGGCTGGGTGGATGGTTATGTCATCCGCCCACCTCTCCTCAGCACGTCATGAAACATTTTATTCATTCGTAACATAAAAAGCTTCCTGTAAGTGGCTGAGCTTTGCGGCTTTTGTTCTGAAAGCGGAACATGAAGTCTCCATCTTGCTGCTGAAGCACAGCCCTGTATACTGTATGTATCTGAGGCTACATGAAGTTCATACAGAGTTGGCAGCCACAGCATGTTTGTTAAAGAGTTCACTTGAACCAGCTTGGTCCAAGCAAGCTATTTAGATGGAGTTGGGCTTTAAAACAGATCTCTAACTGCTGCTATGTTTGATCCCTCACTTAGAGAACATGTGGTGCATATGGCTGTAGTGTAAAAAAAAAAAAGGTATGGCCAAACCTTGTTTTTTGGCTATATTGCTCTTTTGGGTTGCAGATTTACATATATACACCTGAAACCCAGAATCATCTGATAACAGGCTATTCCCTGCTTCCAAATGATGGGAGAGAAGCCTCCATGTTTAGGAAGGATCTCCGCAATATTGTCAGGATTCACCCGACTGACAGCTGATTGGCTGTCTCCACCATTCAGCACGTGACTTAGAGCTAGAGTAAGCTGTGCGCACCTTTTCTCATTTTATGTGTGTGTCTATGTGTAGGGCACTTTGGCTAAAGTAGTAGACTGCAGAACCCTTCTGTAAAAAGTGTTTAATCTGCATGGCCTTTGAGGGAAAATATTTCTTTGGACCACCTCTTGACAGCATTATCAAGAATGCTGCTCTATGGCAAGAGTACCTGTCTTCCTCAGAAGAAGCTTTGAAAGAAGCCCAAAGAACAGACCGCAGAGTGACCTTGTGACTGGACAGTGCAAGGAGAAGCAGCACACTGAGATCATCTCTATCACTCTGCTCTCCCCTTTATCAGCATGTGGTTTGAACTGGAGCACAATTAACTCCCTCCACTCATTGAGCTCTGCTGTACAGTGTCAGACTGCAAGAGGCTGATATCAAGTCAAATTTAGGTACTTACACTGCTGACATTAAAAATAATACATCTTATGTATTCATATTAACACAGCTGCATTCATTTGTGTATTTTGTATCTGCCTGGAACTCTCTTAACCAGCCTGCTATATGTTCTCGCATGCCTTACAGGACCGATCACTTGTTATAGTGCAGGGGTCTCCAAACTTTGCAGTATTTTATTTTTCAGGTACTTATTAAGCCACTGTGCTGTCATGTTGTATTAACAAATATTTACAGGCTGAAAAAAAATCTATTTTTATAAATAAATTGTATCCCCCCCCCCTTAAACCTGTGCCCCCCTCTTAAAGCGATATTAAACCCAAAAACAAACCTTTATTATACTGCAGCTTACCAGCTCTTAGATGTGGTGGCTGCGTTTTTTTTATTTTCTTTTTCAGGCTTTCTTTCCTTTTCAGCTGGTTATCTGGCCAGTAAGTCTGCTTTTCAAGTCTGTTTTTGTTGCTGTAATGGCTTAAAATTCTAGTAAAAGTTCAGTTTAACGTTTTGTTAGTGTATCTAAATCTGCTAATCCATCTAACTCTCCTATCCCCCCAGAATGACATTGCTGCTTCCCAAGGTGCCCCCTGTGCTCCTTCATTCATAGTGGGGGCACTCTAATATAGGTGATGTGTTACTGGTTGATTCACCAGGTGGAAACAGAAGTAGAAAACAACCCTAAAAAAAAGAAAACTAACACAGTCACCATTTCTAAGGATCAGTAAGCTGCAATGTGTTACATTTTTGACTTTGGGTTTAATACGGCTGTAAATATGTGGCCCCCTTAGAGTCGCTCTATAAATCTGTGCCCTCCCCCCTTACCACTGTACTTTTGCTGTAAATACAGCTGCCTGTGGTGCAGGAGCCCAGAGGTGCAGCAGCTCTGCTCAGAAGGTTGTTTGGGAGCTGGCGGTCCTAGCAACTAGCAGCACGGGGGGTTCCTGCGCTGGATTCTGCGCGGGCGGATAGGAGACCGACTGATTTGAATCTCTGTGCACTAAAACGTCTGTGGCCCTTAGCTGCTGCTGTGGGCCAAAATAAATATCCTAGTGGGCCAGATGTGGTCTGTGGGGCATACTTTGGAGACCCCTGTTCTAGAGGATGGAAGGATGTGACTTTTACAACAAGTAGAGAACAGCCGGGGGTGTCACGGGTTGGAGAAAGCCGTCCTGTAGTAATAGCCATGAGCGGTCAGTGCAGTTCTCAGTGATTGCTGTGACCTGTCGGATTACATTGGTCACAGCAGAAATGAAACCTGTAATTGTAAAGGCAGAAGAACGGCTTGGCAGCCAGGCAGCATGCATTCTCAGGAGGAGCTCCGCTATGGCAGCAGGAAGTTTTTCCTCTTATAAAAGAATTATTTGCAAGTTTTACAAGCTGTGTAATTTTTTTGTTATACATACAATGTCCCAATTGTGTGTTTATTACAATAGTCTCATCAGCTATTCCAGTTACATAAATGCCCAACTGTCAGTTCTTCCTGGGATCATTTGAGGTAACTAATTTGCATTTTAATTTAGCAAATACCCACCTAGCAGCATTTCCTTAATTGGAACTGAAGTAGTAACTTGCATATGAACATCGTTCCTACAGTTTGTGAGAGAAGTGCCGCACGGGGAGCAGTAGAAATGCCACAGATGTATACGGGATCTCCAGATATTCAGCTCACACAGTTGTACATAAGTATAAAGTGTGTATATGTTCACAATTACATGTATACATAAAAAAAACATGGAAAATGACAAAACAAAATTAAGCATAAACAAGTCTTAGTAGAATATATTATTAAAACTTACCTTTCCTTTTTCAATCTGCAACGTTGTCGTTTTCTGTAACATGCAATATGGCAACCTGGAGGAATTCTGTACCCAGATGGTGTACCGAGTGCCCCCTGAAAAACGTCATTTATTTCTTGTGTGATTGACTCACTGATTTTCCAGAAGTCGGCACTAACATACAAGTCGGATTTTGGGCATCCCATGCGACAAAAATGTCAGTTTTGGCGAGTTACTCCCAAAGGGAAATCATGTGTAAAGGGGTGCAGACCCTGCCACTTTCCTCACTAGATCTCTGCAAGTGCAGCAGCTGATTGATTATAAAGTCTCTCCCATTCACATTGCACATGTACACAGAATAACACAGCGCTATTTCTTCAGAACAACAAAAGGTAGCAATCTGCTGCAAAGTTTGTTAAAATCCCTGTACTGTACATAGATTACCCAGTGGGGAAGGAAGGGTTTTTTTTTTTTTTTCCCCTGAACAGAAGTGGAGTTACTCTTTAAGTCCTGTAAATTGTGATGTGGAGCCTCTTTTCCCAGCAAATCCCACAGATGCACAGTTGGATGAGATCTGGAAATTTGGAGGCCAAGTCAACAACTTCAATTGCGCCGTGATCTAGTTCTGATACTCACGTATCCATTGTATGCACTTTTGGCAGTGGACATGGATCAGCATGGACCTCCTGACCGGTCTGGAGCTACACAGCCCCATACACGCCAAACTGCAATGCACTGCGTGTTCTGACACCTTTCTATTGGAACCAGCATTCATTTCTTCCTCAGGTTGAGCTTCAGTGGCTCTTCTGTTGGATCAGACTACATGGACCAGGCTTTGCTCCCCACATGCATTAATAAGCCTTGCCACTTTGCTGGTTTTTCTTCTGAAGACCACCTTTGGTAGATCCTGATCACTGCAGACTAGGAACATCCCACAAGAACTGCAGTTTTGGAGTTGCTCTGACCCAGTTGTCTAGACATTGCAATTTGTCCCCTGTTAAAGTCACTCAAATCCTTACGCTTGCCCATTATTTTTTTTTTTTTTTTCGTTGTGCTTTCAACATATCAACCTCAAAGACATGTTCACTTGCTGCCTAATATATCACACCTACGTCTTGGTGACACTGTCATGAGATAATCACGATTATTTGCTTTAACTGTCAGTATGTTTGCAGATAGATATAATAAATATATATATATATACACGCGCACACACACTATATTGCCAAAAGTATTGGGTCACCTGCCTTTACAAGCAAATAAACTTTAATGGCATCCCAGTCTTAGTCCGTAGGGTTCAATATTGAGTTGGCCCGCCCTTTGCAGCTATAGCAGCTTCACCTCTCCTGGGAAGGCCGTCCACAAGGTTTAGGAGGATGTCTATGGGAAGGTTTGACCATTCTTCCAGAAGCACATTTGTGAGATCAGACACTGATGTCAGATGAGAAGGCCTGGCTCACAGTCTCCGCTCTAATTCATCCCAAAGATGTTCTATCAGGTTGAGGTCAGGACTCTGTGC